CATTATTAAAGAAAAACTTCAACAAGTGTTAATCAATCTTCTTCCTCTTCATTCCAGCTTGCAACAAGTAGATATTCTGACAAATATTCTCTCTCCTTCAACCTTTCATACCTTCTTGGAATGTTCAATATATATTATTAACATGAGGGGGACTCTCAGTAAACCAATCTTCTAAAGGAAGATTCAAATCGCTTAGTCACTTGTCATTGCACTTAGTGCATTTGCCATTTTTTTTTTCTGTTTTATGTTTTTTCTATCTTTTTTGTCCCTACATGGGTTTGTTTTTCTTTGTTCCATTGTACTTCTTCTTCACTTTTTTACATAAAATATAAAATGTTTCTCACACTTTCTGTTTTATTTTTTGTTCAAGCTTTCTTGTATGTTTTTTTTTTTGTTTATGCAGTTTTGTGGTTTCCACACACACTCGATATTTAAATGCATTGCAATACAAGAGGTTTTTTTTTTTCTCTTTGGAGCTACAACAATTTGACATTAAAAAAAAAACTCTTACCAATTGTCAACGACTTTGTATCACAATCAATTATGTAAAAGTTGAAAAAAAATGCAAAAATAATGTTATATCTTATTATGTTATTTCCAATATTAAATAATGTTATACGCTTTTTAATAATTTTGGTGTCGTATTTCAACTTTAAAAATTAAAATTATAAAAAATATTTAATGTTAGAAGTGGGATTTGAACCCACGCCCTCGTAAGAGGATCAGAACTTGAGTCTGACGCCTTAGACCACTCGGCCATCCTAACTTATTTGTCAAAATTTCTTATTATTGTTAAAGAACTAAACCACAATAAGTTGAGTTAATATCGTTACTTTTGTGTCAATTTAAAAGAGAGTTTAAGAAAAAATATTTCAAAAAATATTTGGTAAAAGTCTTAAACCATATAGTTCTTTTGTTAAATAAAAAAATAACAATTATTAAAATAGATTAAAAATTAAAAAATATTATATATAGATGAATCTTTTAATTAAAATTTTTTCTATAACACATTTTAGTAATAATAAAAGCTTTGAAATTTTATATTTATTAGTATAGTGTAGTGTGCGTGAATTACGAGAGAATCTTTGTATTGTTAGCCTCTCAAAAGTATCCAACAGGAAACAAGTGTATTATTAAGCTTACGAGAGGTTTGACTATTTTCCAAACATACTCCAAAACAAAGGCATACATTTTTTTGTTTTCCAAATTATATTCTTACTCTTTTAATTTTTGTATATACTTTTAAGATTACTTTTACAAAGATTGAGAAATAGAACAAATATATTTTAACAATTTGAGGAAGTAAATAGTTATTTAATTCCTAAAATCTATTTTTATAGCAAAATATGATAAACACGTCGAAATTGATTGTCACATTATTAAACAAAAACTTCAACAAGTGTTAATCAATCTTCTTCCTCTTCATTCCAGCCTGCAACAAGTAGATATTCTGGCAAATATTCTCTCTCCTTCAACCTTTCATACCTTCTTGGAATGTTCAATATCTATTATTAACATGAGGGGGACTCTTAGTAAACCAATCTTCTAAAGGAGGATTCAAATCTCTTAGTCACTTGTCATTGCATTTAGTGCATTTGCCATTTTTTTTTCTATTTTATGTTTTTTCTATCTTTTTTGTCCCTACATGGGTTTGTTTTTCTTTGTTCCATTGTACTTCTTCTTCACTTTTTTACATAAAATATAAAATATTTCTCACACTTTCTGTTTTATTTTTTGTTCAAGCTTTCTTGTATGTGTTTTTTTTTTGTTTTTGTTTATGCAGTTTTGTGGTTTCCACACACATTCGATATTTAAATGCATTGCAATACAAGAGGTTTTTTTTTTCTCTTTGTAGCTACAACAATTTGACATTAAGAAAAAAACTCTTACCAATTGTCAACGACCTTGTATCACAATCAATTATGTAAAAGTTGAAAAAAAAAAGCAAATAATGTTATATCTTATTATGTTATTTCCAATATTAAATAATATTATATGCTTTTTAATAATTTTGTTGTCGTATTTCCACTTTAAAAATTAAAATTATAAAAAATAGTTAATGTCGAAGTGGGATTTGAACCCACGCCCTCGTAGGAGGATCAGAACTTGAGTCTGACGCCTTAGACCACTCGGCCATCCTGACTCATTTTTCAAAATTTCTTATTATCGTTAAACAACTAAACCACAATAAGTTGAGTTAATATCATTACTTTTATGTCAATTTAAAAGAGAGTTTAAGAAAAAATATTCTAAAAAATCTTTGGTAAAAGTCTTAAACCATATAGTTCTTTTGTTAGATAAAAAAATAACAATTATTAAAATAGATTAAAAATTAAAAAATCTTATATATAGATGAATCTTTTAATTAAAACTTTTTCTATAACACATTTTAGTAATAATAAAAGCTTTGAAATTTTGTATTTATTAGTATAGTGTAAAAAGAAATGTACTTAAATATCGAGTATATTAGTGTGCATGAATTACTGGGAATCTTTGTATTGTTAGCCTCTCAAAAGTATCCAATAGGAAACATGTGTATTATTAAGCGTAAGAGAGGTTTGACTATTTTCCAAACATACTCCAAAACAAAGGCATACATTTTTTTTGTTTTCCAAATTATATTTTTACTCTTTTAATTTTTGTATATACTTTTAAGATTACTTATACAAAGATTGAGAACTAGAACAAATATATTTTAACAATTTGAGGAAGTAAATAGTTATTTAATTCCTAAAATCTATTTTCATAGCAAAATATGATAAACACGTCGAAATTGATTGTCACATTATTAAACAAAAACTTCAACAAGTGTTAATCAATCTTCTTCCTCTTCATTCCAGCCTGCAACAAGTAGATATTCTGGCAAATATTCTCTCTCCTTCAACCTTTCATACCTTCTTGGAATGTTCAATATCTATTATTAACATGAGTGGGACTCTCATTCTCTCTCCTTCAACCTTTCATACCTTCTTGGAATGTTCAATATCTATTAGTAACATGAGGGGGACTCTCACTAAACCAATCTTCTAAAGGAAGATTCAAATCGCTTAGTCACTTTTCATTGCACTTAGTGCATTTGCCATTTTTTTCTGTTTTATGTTTTTTCTATCTTTTTTGTCCCTACATGAGTTTGTTTTTCATTGTTCCATTGTACTTCTTCTTCACTTTTTTACATAAAATATAAAATGTTTCTCACACTTTCTGTTTTATTTTTTGTTCAAGCTTTCTTGTATGTGTTTTTTTTTGTTTATGCAGTTTTGTGGTTTCCACACACACTCAATATTTAAATGCATTGCAATACAAGAGGTTTTTTTTTCTCTTTGTAGCTACAACAATTTGACATTAAGAAAAAAACTCTTACCAATTGTCAACGACCTTGTATCACAATCAATTATGTAAAAGTTGAAAAAAATAGCAAATAATGTTATATCTTATTATGTTATTTCCAATATTAAATAATGTTATACGTTTTTTAATAATTTTGTTGTCGTATTTCAACTTTAAAAATTAAAATTATAAAAAATAGTTAATGTCGAAGTGGGATTTGAACCCACGCCCTCGTAGGAGGATCGGAACTTGAGTCCGACGCCTTAGACCACTCGGCCATCCCGACTCATTTTTCAAAATTTCTTATTATAGTTAAACAACTAAACCACAATAAGTTGAGTTAATATCATTACTTTTATGTCAATTTAAAAGGGAGTTTAAGAAAAAAATATTCTAAAAAATCTTTGGTAAAAGTCTTAAACCATATAGTTCTTTTGTTAAATAAAAAAATAACAATTATTAAAATAGATTAAAAAATAAAAAATCTTATATATAGATGAATCTTTGAATTAAAACTTTTTCTATAACACATTTTAGTAATAATAAAAGCTTTGAAATTTTGTATTTATTAGTATAGTGTAAAATGAAATGTACTTAAATATCAGTATATTAGTGAGCATGAATTACTGGGAATCTTTGTATTGTTAGCCTCTCAAAAGTATCCAACAGGAAACAAGTGTATTATTAAGCTTAAGAGAGGTTTGAATATTTTCCAAACATACTCCAAAACAAAGGAATACATTTTTTTTGTTTTCCAAATTATATTTTTACTCTTTTAATTTTTGTATATACTTTTAAGATTACTTTTACAAAGATTGAGAACTAGAACAAATATATTTTAACAATTTGAGGAAGTAAATAGTTATTTAATTCCTAAAATCTATTTTCATAGCAAAATATGATAAACACGTCGAAATTGATTGTCACATTATTAAACAAAAACTTCAACAAGTGTTAATCAATCTTCTTCCTCTTCATTCCAGCCTGCAACAAGTAGATATTCTGGCAAATATTCTCTCTCCTTCAACCTTTCATACCTTCTTGGAATGTTCAATATCTATTATTAACATGAGGGGGACTCTCATTCTCTCTCTTCAACCTTTCATACCTTCTTGGAATGTTCAATATCTATTATTAACATGAGGGGGACTCTTAGTAAACCAATCTTCTAAAGGAAGATTCAAATCGCTTAGTCACTTTTCATTGCACTTAGTGCATTTGCCATTTTTTTTGTTTTATGTTTTTTCTATCTTTTTTGTCCCTACATGAGTTTGTTTTTCTTTGTTCCATTGTACTTCTTCTTCACTTTTTTACATAAAATATAAAATGTTTCTCACACTTTCTGTTTTATTTTTTGTTCAAGCTTTCTTGTATGTGGTTTTTTTTGTTTATGCAGTTTTGTGGTTTCCACACACACTCAATATTTAAATGCATTGCAATACAAGAGGTTTTTTTTTCTCTTTGTAGCTACAACAATTTGACATTAAGAAAAAAACTCTTACCAATTGTCAACTACCTTGTATCACAATCAATTATGTAAAAGTTGAAAAAAAAAGCAAAAATAATGTTATATCTTATTATGTTATTTCCAATATTAAATAATGTTATACGCTTTTTAATAATTTTGTTGTCATATTTCAACTTTAAAAATTAAAATTATAAAAAATATTTAATTTCAGAAGTGGGATTTGAACCCACGCCCTCATAATAGGATTAGAACTTAAGTCGGACGCCTTAGACCACTTGCCCATCCTGACTTATTTATCAAAATTTCTTATTATTTTTAAACAACTAAACCACAATAAGTTGAGTTAATATCGTTACTTTTGTGTCAATTTAAAAGAGAGTTTAAGAAAAAATATTCTAAAAAATATTTGGTAGAAGTCTTAAACCATATAGTTCTTTTGTTAAATAAAAAAATAACAATTATTAAAATAGATGAAAAATTAAAAAATCTTATATATAGATGAATCTTTTAATTAAAACTTTTTCTATAACACATTTTAGTAATAATAAAAGCTTTGAAATTTTATATTTATTAGTATAGTGTAGTGTGCGTGAATTACTGAGAATCTTTGTATTGTTAGCCTCTCAAAAGTATCCAATAGGAAACAAGTGTATTATTAAGCTTAAGAGAGGTTTGACTATTTTCAAAACCTACTCCAAAACAAAGGCATACATTTTTTTGTTTTCCAAATTATATTCTTACTCTTTTAATTTTTGTATATTTTTTTAAGATTATTTTTACAAAGATTGAGAAATAGAACAAATATATTTTAACAATTTGAGGAAGTAAATAGTTATTTAATTCCTAAAATCTATTTTCATAGCAAAATAAGATAAACACGTCAAAATTGATTGTCACATTATTAAAGAAAAACTTCAACAAGTGTTAATCAATCTTCTTCCTCTTCATTCCAGCTTGCAACAAGTAGATATTCTGGCAAATATTCTCTCTCCTTCAACCTTTCATACCTTCTTGGAATGTTCAATATATATTATTAACATGAGGGGGACTCTCAGTAAACCAATCTTCTAAAGGAAGATTCAAATCGCTTAGTCACTTGTCATTGCACTTAGTGCATTTTCCATTTTTTCTATTTTATGTTTTTTCTATCTCTTTTTCCCAACATGGGCTCTATTTTCTTTGTTCCTTTGTACTTCTTCTTCACTTTTTTACATAAAATATAAAATGTTTCTCTTACTTTCTCTTTTATTTTTTATTCAAGCTTTCTTGTATGTGTTTTTTTTTCTGCTTATGGAGTTTTGTGGTTTCCACATACACTAGATATTTAAATGCATTGCAATATAAGAGATTTCAAAAACACTAAGAAACTTATTTGGTTAGAATCTTGATTTTTGTTAATCTTGTATTATTTCTTAATGTTGTCAACAATAAAATAATCGTAGCAAATATATTAAATCTCCTTATAAATGATTTGGCTGTTCTAAGAAAGATTTTTTTTTCTCTTTGTAGCTACAACAATTTGACATTAAGAAAAAAAAGTCTTAATAATTGTCAACAACCTTATATCACAATCAATTATGTAAAAGTTGAAAAAAAAAGTAAATATAATGTTATATCTTATTATGTTATTTCCAATATTAAATAATGTTATACATTTTTTAATAATTTAATTTTGTTATCGTATTTCAACTTTAAAAATTAAAATTATAAAAAATAGTTAATGTCGAAGTGGGATTTGAACCCATGCCCTCGTAGGAGGATTAGAACTTGAGTCCGACGCCTTAGACCACTTCGGCCATCCCGACTCATTTTTCAAAATTTCTTATTACCGTTAAACAACTAAACTACAATAAGTTAAGTTAATATCATTACTTTTGTGTTAATTTAAAAGACAGTTTAAGAATAAATATTCTAAAAAATATTTGGTAAAAGTCTTAAACCATATAGTTCTTTTGTTAAATAAAAAATAACAATTATTAAAATAGATTAAAAATTAAAAAATCTTATATATAGATGAATCTTTTAATTAAAACTCTTTTTTAACTCATTTTAGTAATAATAAAAGTTTTGAAATTTTATATTTATTTTGTATTTATTAATTTAGTGTAAAAAGAAATGTACTTAAATATCAATATATCGATGTGCGTGAATTATTGAGAATCTTTGTATTGTTAGTCCCTCAAAAGTATGCAACAGGAAATGAGTGTGTTGTTGAGCTTAAGCTTAAGAGAGGTTTGACTATTTTCCAAACATACTCTGAAACAAAGGCATACATTATTTTATTTTCCAAATGTATATTCTTATTTTTAAATATTTGTATATACTTTTAAGATTACTTTTACAAAAATTGAGAAATATAACAAATATAATTTAACAATTTGAGGAAGTAAATAGTTATTTAATTTCTAAAATCTATTTTCATAACATAATATGATAAGCACATTAAAACTGATTGTCACATTGTTAAACAAAAACTTCAACAAGTATTAATCAAGTTTCTTCCTTTTCCTTCCAGCTTGTAACAAGCAGACATTCTGACAAAGGTTCTCTCTCTTTCACCTTTCATAGTTTGTGTTCCAAGCTTGGAATATTCAATATCCATTATTAACATGAGGGGGAATTTCAATAAACCAATCTTCTAAAGGAAGATTCAAATCGCTTAGTCACTCGTCATTGCACTTAGCACATTTTCCATTTTGTCTGTTTTATGTTTTTTATATCTTTATTGTCCTTACATGGGCTTGTTTTTCTTTGTTCCTTTGTACTTCTTCACTTTTTCACCTAAAATATAAATTTTTTCTCACACTTTCTCTTTTCTTCTGTTTTATTTTTTGTTCAAGTTTTCTTGTATGTGTTTTTTTTTTTTTGCTTATGCAGTTTATCATGTTATTTCCAATATGAAATAATGTTATACACTTTTTAATAATTTTGTTGTCGTAAGTTACATAGAAAAGCTTGCACATAAAAGAAGGAACTTATTAGCCTTAATTTGTGTGGTTGAGATTAGCTGGGTAACAACATTAGTTATTTGTCTTTTGTGTCTATTTAATATAATGCTCTTTCTTTGTGCAATATTTTTTCTTTTCATTATGAAAATTTCAAAAACAATTAACTAGATATGTGATCATTTCTAAAGTTGTTTATAAAAACTCATGATCAAATTTGATTAATGTAGACTGAAAGTTTTGTATGAGATTTAAATGAAATAAGTTTAATGACAAAAATGAGCTTCCTTATTGATGAGGGACATATAACTTTAAAGATGAAGAAAGAGAAAAAGGTTGTGTTGAAAATGTAAGGAAGAAACCAAGCCACATTGCCTTCGAGAGAAAGCAAAAGCGAACAAGAACTCCAGCATCTTAAAAGAGAAAAAGAGAGCTTATAGTAGAAGATGAAAGCAAAAGGGAACGAGAACTCCAGCATCGCAAAAGAGAAAAGAAGAAGAGAGCTCGTGGTAGAATATGTAAGTGATACAAGGGCTCCAGGACACGATTAACCAAGTAATCTATAACTATCTATGTATTATTTACTATGTGTTGACTTACTTTACAAAAATAGAAGAAAATCCCTTATATAGGGTCAGCAAGAACCCTAATTAATGGGGAAAACCAACTAACTGAACAAAAATGAATGATTACTACTCTAGGTAGTAATTCTTACTAACTATGAACAAACTAACTGACTTTAACATCCTCCCCGTAAGTTGGATGGTGTACATTCACCAACCCAAGCTTAGAGATGATAGATTTGAACCATATGCGATGAGGGAATTTTGTAAAGATGTCTACAGGATGTTCTTCAGAGCGAATGGGAAGGAGGTGAAGGAGATGAGGTTTAATCTTCTCACGAACAACGTGACAGTTGAGGTCGATGTGTTTTGTCCTCTCATGGAAGCTTGGGTTATGGGCGATGTGCCTGACAGACTTATTGTCACAGTATAGGATAACTGTGCTAAGGGTTTGAATGTTGAAGTCTTGTAAGAGATACTTGATCCATTGTATCTCACAAATAGTCGCGGCTAAAGCACGATACTCAGCTTCAGTAGATGATCGAGAAATAGTTTGTTGTTTCTTTGATTTCCAGGAGATTAGGGAAGATCCAAGGAAAACACAAAAATCAGTGGTGGATCTTCTAGTATTGGGGCAAGTAGCGCAGTCTGAATCGGTGAATGCATTTATTTGGGCTTCAGAATTTATGGCAAAGAATAGTCCTTGGGCAGGGCTGGACTTTATGTACCTTAGGATATGCTGTAAAGCACGAAAATGATAACCAGTGGGATTCTTTAGGAATTGACTTAACAAATTAATAGAGAAGAACAAGTCAGGTCTTGTGTTGGTGAGGTAAAACAGCTTCCTTATCAATCTACGGTAGGAGCTGGGATTAGACAAAAATCTCTCTGTTTTGTACAGGGACTTTGTGTCACTTAAAAAGGGAGTGGAAGAAGGTTTACTCCCTATCATTCCTATCTCTTCTAGGATATCCAAGACATATTTTCTTTGGCATAAGTGGATCCCCTTCTTTGACCGAGCCACCTCAAATCCTAAAAAGTATTTCAGCTCCCCAAGGTTTTTGATACAAAAGTTGTTGTGTAGAAGGCTCTTGTCTTGATGTGCTCTATCTCAATCTTTGAGTTCCCTGCCAATAGAATAACATCATCTACGTACACATGAAGAGCTGTGAAATTAGCGAGTGTTTTCTTAATAAACAGAGAGTGGTCAGACATAGATTGAGTATAATTGGCAGAAATAAGGAAGGTTGAGAGTTTCTCAAACCATTGCCTGCTGGCTTGTTTCAAGCCATATAATGATTTAGTTAACCTGCAGACCTGTCCTGTTTGTTAGTATTCAGTCCTGGTGGCAGTTCCATGTAGACTTCTTCATCTAAGTCCCTATGTAGGAAAGCATTATCCACGTCTAGTTGATGTTGGAACCAATTCTGTGAGGCACCTATTGCAAGCAAGAGTCTAACAGTGGTTACTTTTGCTATTGGGGAGAAAGTGTCCAGAAAATCAATCCCTTCTTGTTGTGTGTAACCCTTAGCCACTAGACAGACTTTGTATCTTTCCATGGTCCCATTTACCTTATGTTTGATTTTGTACACCCATTTACAACCAATGGGAATATTTCTAGGAGGTAATTATATCAAGTACCATGTGTTGTTCTCTTGCAAAACTTTGATTTCCTTCTTCATTACATTTATCCAATCAGGATTGGTCCTGTCTTTAACATATGTTCGTGGTTTAGAGTCACCAGATATAGCCAATGTGTACCTTAAGTGTTTTTTCAGACAGAGATTCATAGGATAGGACCTTAGAAATATGATAAGCAGTTTTTAATTTGTTTTTCTCCTTCAAGATGTTAAAGGAAAATTGACCTAGTGTACATAGTCTTTCAAATATTTAGGGATTCTTCTTGTTCTTATGGGTCTTTTGTTATCCTGGGAAGTGAGAACACTGTCTCTATCATTGAACTCTTCTTCATGTTCAGCATGTCCAGGAACCTCTGTCTGACAGTGGTATTGCTACAATCAGTGGGAATTTGATTATGTGTGCCAGTATTGGTGTGCTCACTCAAAAAGTTAGTAGTTGAGCATTCTTCACTCTCCTCTTAGGAGAGGCGTCATGTTTGTCATTCAGATCCTTGTAAGGAAAAATACCTTCATAGAAAATGACATTTCTTCTTATGAAAAGTTCTCTAGTGTTTACATCCAGCACAATATATCCCTCCACACAAATTTTATATCCTAGAAAAACACCTTTCTTAGCCCTAGAAGAAAATTTATTCCTATTATTTTCTAAAGTAGAAGCAAAACAGAGGCAACCAAAACTTTTTAAATTCAAATATGTAGGAGGGGCATTATGAAGTAAATCATAAGGTGTTTTTCCTTTGAGAATAACAGAGGGTAGTCTGGGAATGTTGGATTGAAAAATTAGGCTACGAGTCTTATTTAGAATATCTTGATGTTTCCTTTCCACAGCAAAATTCTGTTGTAGAGTCTCTGCACAACTTCTTTGATGTTCAATACCATGACTGTTATATAGGACAACAAAACCAAACTCAAGGTCATCATCAGACCTAATGGTCTTAATAGTCTTATTAAATTGAGTTTTAATTTTTACAACAAAATTCTAAAGTAATTCTCTAGTTTGCCTTTTTGAATTCATTAGAAAAACCCAAGTATGTTTGTTGTAATCATCAACTATAGTCAGAAAATATCTATGCCCATGAACAAAATGTATAGAAATAGGGTCCCATATGTCACAGTGTATCAAATCAAAATAATTGGCAAAATAGAAAACACTCTATAAAAAAGGCAATTTATGCTATTTGGCAAAATGGTATACATCACAAACAATTTTAGTAGGCATATTAACATAAGGAAAATGTTTACAGATTTGTTCAGTAGCTTTGAGTCCAGGATGGCCTAATCTATAATGCCACAAACTAATATCAGCATGTTTATAAGAAAGAATAGAACCAGGGATATAGTTTTGATAGAAAACAGGAAAACTTCTAAGGTAGTATAATCCCTTGTGGACATCAGCATGCCCAATCGTCTTCAAGGTAGTATTGTCCTGGATCTGCAAAACTCAGGAGAGAATATTAAAGTACAATTTAATTCTTTAGTTAATTTATGCATAGATATAAGGTTAAAGGAAAATTCCAGAATGTATAACACATTTAAAAAAGTAAAATTCTTAGAAAAATTGATGGTTCCAGCAAATGCTATAGTAAGTAGAGAGTTATTTAACAATTTGACAGATATGGGTTTTATTTTGTAGAAGGTTACAAAATTATTTTTGTCA